AACACTATATTAAAAATATATAAGAATATTTGTACCCATCTTGAAAGAAAACAAACTTTTTCTTTCAGAAATCAGCAATATTTTTCAGAGATCTATATATTCGAATAGGTAATCTGAATGATACTTTCATTTTGATAGGTGAAGTGGAAAAATTTTGTAAGATTTTGTCACAACGTACATGAATATAATACAACTCAGTAAAATTCTTTTTATCGACAACACCATCATACATTGGCATATAGTCATGAATACAACAATTAACATACATAAAATAAAATATCAAAGAAAGCATGTATCAGGTTTGTTGAAGGTTTTCCTTCCTAATATCAATGCACTTTTTTAGTAGTTCTAATACTTGTAGGATTGATAATGTCAATAATAGGGTTTAATCCCTTCATGTAACATAGTGCATTAAATATATTGTATTATTATACCTCATTATAAATATTCTAAACAACACGTTATCTGATTGGTTCTAGGTTATCACGTGATCGGGCCGTAAAACTTCATATTTCCCGTCGTCGGCACGCTTTTCATCATATTCCACCTCTTCGGAACACCTAGTGAATTTTCCCGCAATATTATTCTCGTTCGTTGAACGAAAACTCCCGAGAGTAGTAGACGTCACAATAGCCTGGTTGACGTCACAAAACTGATGACAATGTGTTGAACAAAGGGTTTTATAGTAACTTTACGTTAACAATGAATTAAAGTGAATTTGAGAGGGGTGCCGAATTTGAAAGTTAACGTTTATTTCAAAGGCTTTGCTTGTTTCGGTATAATAAACAATTCATTGGATGAATGTTCGGGAAACATGAAGACTTATTCAGCCAAGAAATATCATATTCCCCTCGGGCGAAGCCCTCGGGGAATATGATTTTCTTGGCTGAATAAGTCTTCATATTTCCCTCACTATCATGCAATAAATGTATAATATTGTAATCTGCATTGATCATAACTAGGACAATATAAAGTACAAAGTGGTTTTCATTTTCAATAAAAAATTTACAAAAATGACATACACGTTTTTCTTTATGATTATATAGGAATTCTCTAGGCATATATATATGCGAAAATTTCGTATAGAATTACAAAGAACATAATACAAATTTTCATATGTAGGCACCGAAGAAAAACTTACGATTTCTTCATACTTTTTGGATTGATTATTTGTCTTTTTCATTCAGAATCAATCAAAAATAAACACAATCCTTAACTCTTTTCCCCCTGTTGCCACCATTTGACGCACTTGCGATTTCCCTAGAGTGTTTATCTGGCTGCCCCCTGAAGCCATTTTGACTGACTGGAAATGACTGACTATTACATTTAGAACATGCTAATAAAGTACCTTAACATCATCAAAGTGTCACATATTATATATCAATGTTTGGGGAATGGATTGAACTTTAGTATTGTCAAATAATTTTCTAAGAATAATTAATCTACAATTAACAATATATAGGTGAAACCAGGTAAAATGAATTTTTCACAACTAATCTTCATATTATCCTTTATATGAGAGAAAGTTTCTATAAAATATACATTTGTCAAGTAAACTTAAAATATAATACCAAACCAATTAAAAGGCTCATTAGTTTTTGTTTAATTAATATTAATTAAGATAGATTAATAATGATAGGTAATTATCTTAGACTTGAGCCAACTAAACTTCACAATCATGTTCAAGCAGGCATGTTTATAAATATTTTATATATTTAGTTGACCACTTCTTGCAAAAGTCTTGGGGAAAATAAATTAATAAATGTTTTTATCTAAATCAATGCCCTGATGAAAAAATTGCTGAAAGTAGATTATTTAGTACTCATAAAACGCATGGGAAATCTGTGGCTGCCATTGTTGTTTTTGTTAAAAAGTCTATGATGTTCTTCCTCTAATTTTCATTGTAAAAATTTATTTCTATTAAATTCAACTTTAGAACTGATGTAAGAACGTTGTGAATGCTAATACAATCCAAGGTATGTTACATAAAATGCAATATTAAGGCTAAATTTTGCTTGTGACAAGGCCCAATTTCTTCTTGTAAACAGACTGGGTGCCATTGTTTTCACACAGGTAAATCTCAAGTGAATTCACACCACGCTGTGACTTCACTAATTATAGTAACATTACCTAATGTGTAATACACATGATTGGCTATCATTAAGAGCTGAATTTATTTAGAAACAGGGGAAATCACATAGCTAATTTAGGGTTGTTGTGTGTATGCGTCAAATGGTGGCATCAGGGAAATGGGGCATAGCGTCAAATGGTGGCATCAGGGGGTAAAGGATGTAATGCATTAGGGGGAAAAGAGTTAAAATTTAAAAGCGTTTACATTTATTAACCCTAATTTTAAGATAAGTCTAGAAAAGAGGATACATTAAATAATTATAACTGAAAAAAAAATCAAATGTATCGCATATCTTATACAATTATGGACTCTTTTGGTGTTGAATATGGTTTGTTATTCACCAGAAAAATATTCATATTGACCGAGGCGAAGTCGAGGTCAATATGGATATTTTTCTGGTGAATAACAAACCATATTCAACACCAAAAGAGTCCATAATTGTTTTATTATATAGTCGGGATTTGGATACATAAGACATTGAAGGCTGTATGACGACACAATTTTCATTTGCGATCTTCCATTGCTGTAAATAAAAAAATCTCCAGATTACTGTTTGTAACCTCTGTGTTTTCCTTTCCGAGTTTCGCTATGTGTAAGACGTCCAGATGTTAAAAATTAATCCTGAAATAGGTTTGAATAATGGTTTTCCTGCTCAGATACGTAGCTCGCTGCGGCCGTTGCAACCATTGTTTACAACGTTATTCGATATTTTGATTGTGACGTCACAATGCCGCTGCACGTGCATTAACCCTCCGGTGAATACGACCTAAAATCCGGTGAATATGTAGTGTTATGAACTGTTTGCGTTTATATAGATTATATAGGGACTATAAATAGACTATATAATAATATACATTTATTGCATGATAGTGAGGGAATTATGAAGACTTATTCAGCCAAGAAAATCATATTCCCCGAGGGCTTCGCCCGAGGGGAATATGATTTTTCTTGGCTGAATAAGTCTTCATGTTTCCCGAACATTCATGCAATGAATTGTTTATTATACCGAAACAATCAAAGCCTTTGAAATAAACATAAACTTTCAAATTCGGCACCGCTCTCAAATTCACTTTCATTGTTAACGTAAAGTTACTATAAAACCCTTTGTTCAACACATTGTCATCAGTTTTGTGACGTCAACCAGGCTATTGTGACGTCTACTACTCTCGGGAGTTTTCGTTCAACGAACGAGAACTATATTGCAGGAAAATTAACTAGGTGTTCCGAAGAGGTGGAATATGATGAAAAGCGTGCCGACGACGGGAAATATGAAGTTTTACGGCCCGATCACGTGATAACCTAGAACCAATCAGATAACGCGTTGTGTAGAATATTTATAATGAGGTATAATAATAAAATGTATTAGATAGATTTAAGTGTATTGTACCTAGTTTTAAAAGAGAGATTTTTTTAGAATCATTTAAAGACAAATGTAATTCAAACATCACAACAACTCATCAGTGGATATAAATGATAAGTAGAGTTCCATTAAGTGTTTACAAGTTATAAACAATATAATTAAATATCTGATCAGAATTGTTACATTTTTAATTTTAAAATTAAAATATCCCTTTCAAATTAATTTTTGATCGTCTTTACAAATTTGAATTGAATAAATTTCATAATATTGGAACAAAAAATATATAAGAACCAATATTCTTGAACACGTGAAAATACTTGAATATATATATATATATAGGCCCTATGTTAATGCATAGATCTAAAGCAGCTACTTTAGGTCCGTAGTTAATTTGATATCATTGTTGAAATTTAGATTAAAGTAAAATATCATTTCCGGAAATCAATTTAGATTCTACCATTTTCTTTTAAGCACATTACATTCTATATATAAGTAACTATTCAATTCTCAAGAAGATCATTACACTTACCCATTATTATGGGCCGGCACGAGCCGGCCCATTCTATGAAATAAGATTTTTAGAGGTGTATGAGTTTCTGCGGGATTAGGAATTTTATGCGGGATGAGCGTGTATTTAAGATAAAATAGAAATACTGATTATTAATTCGATTTTCATCATTTGGATGTAAAATAATCCTTTTAAATATTTTTTTAAATGTTTGTTTACGATAATATAAATCATGATAATATTGTGTGCACAGTTCACGTGCTAACCGCATGTTTTTATTATTACATTCGGCAAACCTCGAATGATTCTGCTGTGTGCCGCCGAGATTCCCAAAGCTATTTATATAGTTCTAGGCTATTTATATAGTGTCGTCATGGTTTTCGCGACTCCTCTTTATTTTACCAGCTCTTGCCTAGTTATTTTCGCGCGCTTTCAAACAAAGGATGTTTTCTCTCAACTAAAGCCATTTCACGATAAACAACTTGTAACACGTGCATTAAATGTCAAGTAATACCTTTTTGTTTAAAATATATTCTAACTGTTTATGAAAGCTTTAATTTAATTAGTGCTTCTCAATAAGAGTAGCAAGCTTCAAAGTATTTAATGAAATATGTAAGGGGTCCAACGGAAATGTGTTGTCTCATTAGTAGCAGATCAAATAATTTTTAGACCATTATGATGTCACAGAAGTTAAAGTTGGTGTCGCACTGCTCTTGATATAATCCACTCGATTTTTGGAGAACTTTTTCATTATTGACATGGACTTCGTTCATCAATCAGCTACCGAGGATTAAATGTTCATTCCAAATTAATAGGTTTATGCGTAAATTGTCATTTTGATATTGTCCAATCATAGTTTTTAGAAACATTTACTCTATAAAAATAATCATATTCTTGGGCTTTAGTACGGCCCATAACTTTGGTGCGTGCACCAATGTTTCTTGTAGTTAAACTGTTTAAAGGAAAGTGAAAGTGTATTGGCGTTTCTTGGAATTAATATAAACACATGCCGTGGTGCAATCTAAAATACCGATATGATTGTTTGTTTTGATAATCTTTCTGAATCTCCTTCTTAAAACTCCTTCCTAAAGAAACTACTGCATGGAATTTTTTTTTCATTCGGCAATATTAATTTTGAAAATAACATACAATATGCAAGAGCCAATCAAATACTTTTTGTTTCTTTTAACGACTATAAATTAATCTATTATTTAAAAATAAGATACTACGTGCTTTAGTGTTTGACAATATTATAAACATTCTTACTTCATTTATCCCAGCCAACATCCAGAATGAGATGGTATAAAACAAGCAGCGAAACATTACATTGCACATGTTGCACGCATTATGCATCATGGCGACTTATGAAAATTTAGCACTGGTTCTCTGCCCTTGATTCCAGTCGCTGCCGCTAGGAATTACAAGGTCGTTGGTTTTTCAGGGCGCTTGCGACCGTGAACCAATGTCAGGGTACCAGTCTAATGAAAATTCACACGTGATCAGAAAAATCCAAAGTTTGTAAACATGTCTTCCGGTGTACCAGTGAAAACTGTCGCTAGTGCTCAGTGTCGCTCTAAAAATAGCGGTAGCCTTGCAATTCGGCACTCGTATAATTAGACCCAGAGAAAGTTGTAATCGCCTTATAAAGACGCAATTAGTGTTTAAAATGAAGTAAAATCGAAGTAATAAAGTTCCAAGACTGTAAATGTATTCTGGTTTTTTGAATATTTTCAGAAAAATCTTGAAAAATAAGTGTTTGACATTCGACGCTATTGCATCGCGATCGGCATCTGATCTGGGTTTTCATATGATACTTCATCTCTAAAATTACATCAGAAGAAGGGCAATATATGACTAATTTAATTAGATATTTATTAATTGACTGAAAAAGAACTATTTGGGAAAAGAAAGCGATAGCAGAAGTGTACTATAAGACTGTTTAATGTTTTTAAACATCGAGATCGGCATCCAACTTAATCAGCTGTTTGCACTCTAGAGAACAAATTATGATTCGTAAACTCGCAATCAAAACCGATCTATTCAATTGTAAGTAAGACAGTATTTTAACAAGATAAAATAAAAAAAATATCGTTTGTTTTGCCGATAAATGTAATGCAAGACACAAGTAAGGTTAAATTATGGTTTCGCCACTTGCAACCACCAGTATAGAATACTTCAAATAAAGTTGCGACTCGAATTTCCTCTATTTATTGTGGTTTTAATGTGTCTATAATGCTGAAAAGTTATTTTTCTTGTACACAAAGACTAATGTGGATTTTCCCTATGAATGTTTAGGTGTTAATATTCTCTGTCATAAATTAAAACCTAAGCAGTTTTCAATCAATTTTCATCATACATATATTTTTTGGTTAGATGAGTTCTGTTCACATTGATTCATTATATGTTCAATGATGATCCATGATAGGTGACATTCAGTAAGATGCGTCGATTTAACCAAAGGGACTTAATTATGATAAAAATAGGAATATCATAAATAGTGATTTAGCATCTTTTTTTTGAAAGTGTGTGTGGTGGGAGGGGGGCTTTCAAGGGTGTTGCTAACACCCGGCTTTCAATGAACATTTTTAATACAGTAAAACTAAAAGTTATGTCTGGAAAATAGTGGGGGGGGGGGGGGGGGGGGGGGGGGCAAGCCCCCGGCCCCCTGTTGCTACGTGACTGATTTACTAAAAAAGAATAAATTTGTGAAATTTTCTGATTGGTAAACTTGTATATTTTAAAATAATTTGCTTAAATGTCATGAATAAAGTAAGTTTTTTTGATACAATAATTGGAATGTTTGTCATAAACATAAAACACATTTATTTCAATAGTCATTATTCTGAATATTCAACAATATAAATATCTAAATGCAAAACTAAATAATTTTATATATATATATATAGATGCATTTTAGTTTTGATATAAAGTCTACAGAAGTCCATTTGAGTCACCTTTGGCTCCAATTGGGTAAATCGACACACCGTTCAGTAAGATGCAATGTCACTGAAATATTGTTAATGTTGGGATAGACAGTTCATTTTCATTACAGTGATGATAAACTTAGATTTATAACTTCAAACATCTATCGGTGTATAGAGTCCACACACAATATAAAATTATATATCATACAAAGAGATGAAACCAATAGTAAAGTGGGAAAAAAAAAACCATCTTGCATATGCACTACAATGCTAGACAAGCTACCAGTAAGACAACTCTCAATTATAAGAACTTTCCCAGTATTTGAAGACAAAATCACTTAGTTTGGTAGATATTTTATGCGCTACTTAAGCAAAAATTGACATCATATTTTGTGGGGAAAAAATCAGAGAATTCTAAATATATGTATTGGTCACTTGGTAGCTTACATTTTAGAATCGCTTAATGCTGTTTAAATGCAGTACAGCCTGTAAGTCTGTTACGAAATGCAGTGTAACTTATGTTCCATGTATAGTAGAGGGCTGATATTTGGACACATATATTACGAGATATGTAATGTACTGTAAAGGTCAATGTCATATCAAGAGGTTAAAGATAAAAAGTTAACGAAAAAATATTGTGATGAAATATCTAAAACTATCAGTTCAATTTTCCTTATTTTGACTCAATTTATTCTGGGAACCATTAGAATCATTTATTTGATTTTTTGTAAAAATTGAATTATACAATTTCTTGTGAGATAACTTTGTGTGTAGCATAGTTACTTGTGAATTATTTTCAATTTTGACACATATGTATGCTCTATTTTTACATAAAATATCTTATTCAAATTTACCAGTATCATTATAATTAAACTTATTGAATTCAAGTACCAGTAACAATAATATTGTCTTTATAAACAGCATCATGCAAGTTTTCAATAAATTAATTGATAATGTTGAAAAACGTTGAATGTCTGATTTCACAACTTTCTCACAGGCCATATTTCAAACTATGTGGACAAAAATGTGTGATTGAATTTCTTTCATATCATATAAAGAAGAGATTTTGTATCCGAGAGCTAAAGATCAAAGTATCAGAGAAACTGAATTTGGGGAAAAAATTGATCTATCTATTTTTTACCACCTTAAATCAAATTTGAAATCCAATTTAAATTACTATAAAATCCAAATAATTCATTAGTTTGTACACATGTTGTAAGTGTTTAATGACAGATTGACAATTGTTTAAGATATTCGAGAAATTACATTTTAACCTGAAATTCAATTGAACGGCTTGATCAAATAAAATTTCTCTTAACATACATTTTTATGCCCCTGTAAACGAAGTTTCGGGGGCATATAGTTTTTTTCGTGTCTGTCTGTCTGTCTGTCTCTCTGTCTGTCTGTCTGTCTGTCTCTCTGTTTGTCTGTTTGTCCGCAAAAACTTTAACCTTGCCCATAACTTTTGATTTAGTGGAGCTATGACTTTCATATTTCATATGTGTATTCCTTGTGACAAGACCTTTCTTTGGGTACCACCAAATTTGACCTTTTGACCTTGACCTTGGAGTTTGACCCACTTTTACATGAAATTTTCAAAATTTTACTTTGGCCAAATCTTTTGAACAGTAAACACCAGGACATTTATACTTCACATATGTAATGTTTATTAAAAGACCTTTCACTGGATACCAACAACTTTGACCTTTTGACCTTGACCTTGTAGATTTCCTTACTTGTGAAAAAACTTTAACCTTGGCCATAACTTTTGTACGGTAAGATATAGGGCTTTCATACTTCATACATGTAATCCTTGTGAGAAGACACTTCATTGGAAACCAAGAACTTTGACCCTTTGACCTTGACCTTTGAGATTGACCTACTTTAAAAAAGCAAACCTTGACCATAACTTTTAAAGAGTTAGGGCTAGTGCTTTCATACTTTACATATTTGATCATTATGACAAGACCTTTCATTTGATAACAATAACTTTGACCCTTTGATCTTGACCTTGGAGTTTGACCTACTTTTTAAGAAATTGAAACCATACCTTCTGAACGGTTAGGGCTAGGGCTTTTATGCTCTACAGAAGTATTTTATGTGGCAAGACCTTTCATTTGATACTAATTACATTGGCCTTTTGACCTTGACCTTGGAGATTTTTGTAATTAATAAAAAACTTAAACATTAGCTTACTTTCAAATTTTACAATTGTTTTCCAGTGAGAATACCCTACTTTTGGTACCAATTAATTAATTTGCATTTAAGAAAAGCTTAATCTTTGCTATGTTGCCATACGGGGGCATCAGTGTTTTACAAACACATCTTGTTTTCTTACTGTACTAACATTTATTATACTTTTTGTTAAACATTATTCTATAAAAAAGTGAAGACAATACAAGTATAAGAAAATGAGTATTGTTAGAGCCATGCTGAGAGTAGGACTAATTTCACCCTAATGATCTGATGTCCCCTTTGGATCTTTTCCTTTTATAAGAGAGGAGAAAAACAATGCAGACCAGACTGGGATTCAAACCGTGGCCCCCTAAATCTCCGGTCAGGTCTCAAATAACCAACTGAGCTATCCGGCAACTGGCGATCGAACTAGGCTGACTGCCACATTCCTCCCTTCTTAAAGGTCTTGGTTTAAAGACCCCCAACCCAGGATCATCCCTGGCAGGCTCTCACTTTTGGTTCCAGGGTACTGTAAATGTTTTATATTTAGCGTGTACGATATTTGGTGGAAAATGACTTTTGAATAAGTTAGCGTAGATTTGTCATATTCTTATGTATGTGTTTATATGCGAGACATTTAGCGTTGTACTTGATTTAGCGGATGCTGCGTTCCGCCAAAGCCGCTAAAAAGAATACACAGCCAAATGTAATACGTTTACAGTATATGGCACATCACCAAATGTGACTAAGCCCCACCACTTGCCGTACAAAAAACTTTCATTGTATTATCTCTAAACTTGTTGACGTTTGCCGAAATCTATATTTCAGCCATGAATGAAAAGCTGTGCAAGTTTCAGACACTAATTAGGTTACATCATCTGACTAAAAGACCAAGGTTGGATGAGAATCTTACTATTTTGACCAAATTTAAAGTTTTTGTGATGGACAAAACTACAGATTGACAGAAGTACAGACGGATGAGATTTATATTGCCCCCCCCCCCACTTTTGCAAAGGCGGGGACAATAATATACATGTATTTGAAAGGTTTATAGAATAAGAGAACTCTACAAGAACACTTTTTTATTACACAAAAAGAACTTTCATTGTTTTAATGATAGGTAGACTTGTAAAAAAATAGATGATTGAAAATGAGCAAAAATTATTTTTAATGTTCTTCAAAGGCCAAGATAGGCCAGTATGAGAGGTATAGTATAGAGTATGAAATGCCTGTAAAGTATATTTTATTGTTGATAGT